CCATTTTGGCCAGTGAACTAAAATATGAGTTGTTCCCACAGCTCTATCTAGAAGCAATAATTTATTCTTCAATTCTACAATGAGCTCCATTCACAAGGCCTCCCTCATTGACAGAGCTCATTCAAGGACTGTGGTCCTGAGTACTTTTAGTTTCTGGGTTTTCAGTTTTTACCAATTTTCACTGATAAATTACCAGGTTTTTTAAATAAAGGAGCTTGGTTTTTTACATATTTACACCACTTATCAATCCACTCAGATTTTTTTTTTTGGCGTGGGAGGAGGAGAGAAGGGAGACTTATTTGTGTTAAAAATTACCCCTTATCTATTTGTTGTATTCTACAGTTCTGAGATTGAAACATATCTGCAGGATAAAATACATAACACGGGCCCAATGCAGGTCAGAAAAATCAAAGTTAATATTGCACCAGGATTGAATCACAAGGAGATGCTTCCCACATATTTGTTTGAATCTGTTTAGTGTGGTGCTGAATTTAATCAGCCCTCCACAGATAAAAGATAAACATGAGGCAAATTCCAAATCGATGCCTGAATACAAAACTAGAAAAATTAATGCTTAGAAATTTTCAAGAAAAGTAAAGACAGGAGAAAAAAGGATGCATTGTGCTGCAAGTAGTGCAGCGTTGGAGTCACTGATTTCACTGAGGCTACCTCCAGACTGCATTCCTCTGCTGACAGAAGGATGTAGATTAGGCACTTCGATAGTGCAAATGAGCCTGGGATTTAAGTATCCTGGGCTTCATTTGCATACTCATGTTCCTGCGCTGTGCCGATCAAGCGCCTTTTCGAAAGTGAAAGCAAAGTCTAGCCGTGGTTCTGCCGAAGGCTGGGAGCTTTTTCGGTAGATCCTGTACGCCTCAAAAAATGAGTACAGAATCTGCCAAAAAAGCTCCCCGCTGTCAGCAGAACTGTGGCTAGACTTTACTTTCACTTTCAAAAGGGTGCTTGATCGGCACAGCACCGGACTGCGAGTATGCAAATGACGCCTGGGATATTTAAATCCCGGTTTCATTTGTACTTTCAAAGTGCCTAATCTACAGCCTTCTGTCAGCAAAGAGGTTTAGTTTAGACACACCCTGAAAGAATAAGAGCACGTGGGAAGTCAGTAATACAAGGGCTATGTCTATAGTGCAGTGCTATCCCAAAATGCTATTCCGATCTAGGGGTTATAGTGGACCACAAGCTAAATATGAGTCAGTGTGACGCTGTCGCAAAGAAAGCAAATGTGATTCTAGGATGCATTAACAGGTGTGTTGTGAGCAAGACACGAGAAGTCATTCTTCCACTCTAGTCTGCACGGATTAGGCCTCCGTTGGAGTATTGTGTCCAGTTCTAGGAACCACATTTCAAGAAAGATAGAGAAATTTGAGAAGGTCTAGAGAAGAGCAACAAGAATGATTAAAGGTCTAGAGAACATGACCTATGAAGGAAGATTGAAAGAACTGGGCTTGTTTAGTTTGGAAAAGAGAAGACTGAAAATAAAGAAAATAAAAAAACCTCAGAACACTTATCTGTTAGGCAAACAATATCATATTCAGATCACTCAAACACCAGTGCATCTTGACCGTTTACACACAATCCTGCCTCAATGTAAGGGTGGGACTATATTACCTGTTGAAGCACTACTCAGTCCCACTTTTGTACAGTTCCAAACAAGATTGACTACCACTATTTTTAATCAAGATTCAAATTTCTTGGTCCAAGGAATAGTCAAGGTCTCGCCTATAGAGGAAAATAATGATTAAAAAACTCAGCAACAGTAAGTGAAAAGATTTCAGGGTCCATTCAAAAGCATCCAGCAGTCTGTATTTGGCCGATGGTCCAGCTATTGACTACCCCTGTTCTAAAAGACCTTTTCTGACAAGGAGATAGTGAAGCAACAGTTGATTTTGGAATAGAGCAAGTTATCCACTGAATATTGGGCATGTCTATCAACCTAGACAAATTATGCAAACATCGAAGTTCAAGATCAAATTATTCATTACTCCCTCTATCCCCTCCAACACAGATTAAGCACACTTTGTAATGGAGCAGCAAGGGATCCTTCCTTGGTGGGGTCAAGCCAGCCAAGGTCATTGGACCCAATAAGAAAGGAGCAAGAGAGGACTGGTTTACACTAGGACTTTATTTACTCACCCTTTCCAAGGTCAAATTTATAAGCAAATCATCCATACTACCAAGCCCATTATTTTGAAATAATAGGCTGCGGAATTCGAAATCTGTACTACTGTTTTTCATCAGGAGTAACACCAATTCCAAAATAGTTATTTCAAAATAATGATAGTGTGGACACTCCAGTGCCTCATTTTGAAATAATTAGTCTCCAGAGCTACACATGGGGCTCCAAATCCGAGGTAGCATGTCCACATTAAGGTAGCCTGCCTCAGACTAATTTCGAGGCTTCCCCGTAGTGTAGACATGCTAATTCGATTGTGTTAAATCAGGTGTTAAGTTGAATTTACTAATTTTGAAAGTTTCCTAGTGTAGACATGGGAACAGTGCCAGGCAAAGCTAGGTGGAGTTTACTGCTAAAAGAAAACAGGCCCTGTAAACATGAAGTATTGTTAATGCAGATGAGCAGACAGATTCTGATACCCCGGAAGACTTAAGCACATATGACAGAAAAACTATTCAATGACAAATCAGTTTTATTTTTTATGTACAGCAGTAATTTCTTTTAAAAAACATCCTATTTTCATGCTTATTAGTGATAGTCTAATAAATCTGTACAGTGCAGTCCTCTTAATTGCACCAAGTTAGTGTACAAATTTAAAAAAGTTATCACAGCTGAGTGCTAAGATTAAATGTTTCACCCTGTTTTGAATATGAGAGCATATTACACCCTTGGTAAACAGCTATACCTTTTTATACATGGTTGTTAAAACCACAAGATTGGCAATGTAACCTATGCACCCCGATCGCAGCATGCCAGTAGCTTGCACAACAGCAGCATAGCTGTCCTGAGTAATAGATCACTTGCCCTTAACAAAACAGTGGGACGATTAACTCAATATATTCAAGTTACTTATCATTAAGGCGCTGATTTAGCAAGGTTAAGCACATGCCTTAATTTAAGCACATGAATCATCTTACTGAAGTCAATGTGAATGTCAAGGAGTAAATCTATTGAACTGGTTACTGCTTTTAGCAACAATTCTGCTCTTTATATCACAGTTTTTCCAGTAGGGTAGCTACATATAATATGGACTGCTCTAATAGGTTCTGTTCACTTTATGCAATCATTTAACCCTAATGCTATAGTATACTTAGATTTTTTGCCCACATGTTTCTTAAACCTTCAGCTTTATATTCAATGAAAAGCAGTTAATAAAAAAGTCACATTTATGTGATTGATTCCACCTCTGCCCACCCAATTCCATAGTACTATTACTCTAATACTGTGGTGTCCAACCAGTTCTGAAGCAGTAGCCACTATAGCAAACTAGCCATACTCAACCGGCCAAATAGCCACAGGTGGCTAGTGTGTTGGACACCACTGCTCTAACACCTAAGGTATCATTAGCACTGAATGAGACTATTTGGAAGGAGGGTAAGGTGGGCTGAAGAGAAGGAGGTGAAGTGCTTTCAAATGCACAAAGTATAGTTAGTTTCACTATTTCCTTTTGCAATTTTCACAAACAATAAAAGAGAAAACACATGGAAAAACAAACAACCCACTTCATTTATGCTTTCTTTGGCTTACAGAAAATGCACTGATAAATAAGAATTAAAAAAAAATCATGAATTATTTCTACAATGCAACTTTGAAATAATTTGATAAAGAGGAAAAACAATTACATAAAATGGAAGGGTTTTGGTGCCTGCTGCAATATTCCCTTCTTAAATTCTTAACTACCACAGTCATTTAAGGCATGCCTACACAGCAGGGCTAAAGTTGAATTTTGCTACAGAACTTAAGCTACACAATTGACATAGTTGAAGTTGAAATAGCTCAATTTGGCTTTTGGCGTAGTCTACACAGCAGGAAGTTGAAGGAAGAGCACTCTTCCTTCGACTTCCCTTACTCTTCGTAAAATGAAGGTTACAGGAGTCAGAGTAAGAAGTCCTCCAGCTTGTCATTATTTCAAAATAAAGGCTTGGGCTACGTCTACACTGGCCCCTTTTCCGGAAGGGGCATGTAAATTTCACTAGTCGTCGTAGGGAAATCCGCGGGGGATTTAAATATCCCCCGCGGCATTTAAATAAAAATGTCCGCCGCTTTTTTCCGGCTTTTAAAAAAGCCGGAAAAGAGCGTCTAGACTGGCCCCGATCCTCCGGAAAAAGTGCCCTTTTCCGGAGGCTCTTATTCTTACTTTGAAGTAAGAATAAGAGCCTCCGGAAAAGGGCACTTTTTCCGGAGGATCGGGGCCAGTCTAGACGCTCTTTTCCGGCTTTTTTAAAAGCCGGAAAAAAGCGGCGGACATTTTTATTTAAATGCCGCGGGGGATATTTAAATCGCCCGCGGATTTCCCTACGACGACTAGTGAAATTTACATGCCCCTTCCGGAAAAGGGGCCAGTGTAGACGTAGCCTTGCAGTGTAGACACACAGTTTGTTATTTCAGAATAACAATTTATTCCAAAATAATGCTGCTGTGTAGATGTGTGTGTGTCTGTATCATAGCCCCTCCCCAAGGTTAGGGACGCATGCTGGATTTGAACTTGTAAGGTGCTGTGCCACCTCAGTGCCCATTGATATTCTTCATAGCTCTTTGCACGTGGCAATCCACACCTGAGAGGATTGGACCCAGCAATATTGTTAAGCGCCCAATATTGTTTTCACTGAACTCTGTGGCAAAACTCATGTTCACTTAAATGGGAGCAGGCTGTAGGTGAATTAGTGCTTAAGGGAATAGATGGACACAACCAGTGAGTGTTGGAAGCTCTTGCAATTTTAAGCACTGAGCTTTCCAATATGACATTTTATTTAAAGCCCCAGTGCCCTAGAACAAAGGATTACATAAAAATCTCAGCTTTCAAAAAAAAAAAAAAAAAAATAGCTCTCATGGTTAGAGAGGGAAGCATGAAAACAGGACTGAATTCACCCTAAAGAGTCAGAAACAGAGGGCATATAACCCCCACATCAATTTATTTTTAATCTCATGGTTTTGAATATTTGAAATATGGAAAATTGGAACTGTTAAGTTTGAACTCACAACTAGTGACTATGGCTAACATGTTCTCAATGCTACTTACAATGATTTTTAGAAGAGGGGAAAATGCACTAGCCACATGTGGCAAATCTTAAATGACAGTCCACATGAATAGGGCTATTTTGGAAGGGCACTTGAGAAGCTTTTTTGTTTAGTAACAAAAGTTAAAACTCCCTTTTATCAAGACGGAATGGCATTTGGGATAACAGGCTACTCCACTCTGTCTCTTAATTCCCCTCCATCAAAACTCAAATGTTGGCAGTCATTCACACTTCCATAAAACTCAAGGTTTGCTGGTCTACTGGGGTCGGAGGAGAAAGCCTTATGCTTCCTGTCTGATAAAAATAAATTTAATCCTTCACACCAATTTACAAGATGAATTACACAAGGTAATTCACTAAAATTACAACTCATTTAGCGGATTTTCAATATTTAGTGTCAAATGTTCGGTTTACAATCAGTGATACCTTTCACTAAGCAGGGCCCACTCCTATTGTTCTTAAGTTCTCGTATATCATGGTGATATCTATGCGTGTTAGGAAATCTTCAGTTTAGAAAGGCCCCGATTTCTGCATGAGGTTTTAGATTGTTGAAAAGAGGAAAAACATACTAACAAAATCACTATGGGCAAGTTTACACTTAAAATGCTGCATTGATGGACCTATGCCACTGTAATGCTTTAATAAGACACCGAAACCAACAGGAGAGAGCTTCCATCAACACAGTAAATCTGCCTCCCACAGAAGGACCGGGGAGGTAGGCTGATATAACTACAGCTCTCAGGGGCCTGGATTTTTCACACCCTAGAGCAATGTAGTTATACCAATATAGGCCCATAGTATAGACCAGACCAAAAGCTTTACATAGGACAGGGATCTCTCTTTTACCTACCATTATGTGCCAAAACCACCTAACAAAGTCAAGGAGAATTATGTGCGCACCGAAGGATTACAGCTAAGTAGATATGGAAACCTAGCCTCTTTTTTTTTAAATTAGAAAAAGGAGAAGTCAGTCTCAAATGCATTACAGTAGGATGTTAATCTAATCCTATAATAATAAAGATTTGGGATTTAAAAAAAAAAAAAAAAAGAACAAAAAAGCTGTAGAGTGCAGTTATATGACCAAAAAAACCCAAACAAACCCAAACCCACCCTACAAACAGCAACAGACTTAATTTTTTTTTAAAGTCTTCAAGAATGCCTTCAAATATTCATAATAGAGCAAGACAATTGATATTACTTTTTTTTAAAATGTATGTCTGTCAGTACTGCCACAGTGCTATCACTAGACCAAATAAAATATATTTGGAACTAGAGGCTCAGTTAAAAGCATCTGGTGGTTATTCCTTTGAACATTTCATTTTTTGCTAAAGATTCTCTCCCAATGTTTTACACCCTTTAATACATATTTATTAAGGAATCTGGAATCTACCGAAAAAACTGAAAGCTATTATATCAGTTATTCAACAGTTTCCTTTTTGGAAAATATGCCTTTTAGTCTAAGGCCCAATAATGCCATCCTTACTCAGTCAAACATTGCATTGAAATCTTTGCGGTAAGTTCACCAGTGACAGAAGAACGCATAATTCGGCTCATTTCAATAGAATTGCATCAGTTTAGATCAGTGGTGATATTGGTGCAAAGGAAGTTTTGCCTGGGTAAAAACGGCAGGGTTGAGTCTTATGTTCTCAACCAAGAATGCATATATGGCAAAGAAATGTGTAAACTGGCATATATCTGTAATCTGTGAAATGCATATAAATACTGAAGTTTCAGTCCTCACTACTTAGACAGTTTAAGTGAGAACTACATTTTCTCTTATATCAGATTTTAAAGAAAAAAAAAGAGGTAACTACAATATAGTTCAAAAACACATACACAAAACCTGAACAAACCCCTCTCTCCATACATATGGCAAAACTTGTAACTGAATGAGAGGAAAGAGAAACTTCTCAAAAATTCTCTTTTCCAGGCTACTGGTAACTGGCAAAATCAGACCAGGAACTAATACAAATCTAAATAGGGTTAAACATGATCTACATAATATTTATTGCTCCTAAAACTTTGCTTTTAATAGGATTACTAACACACTACAGTCCCCAAGATAAAACTGTTGCATTAGCATTTATAGCTTCTCATATAGTGGGGAAATAAGGTAATGTTGAGACCTTTTTAATATGTTTGCAAATGGAAACAAAGTAAACACAGGTGAAAAAGTTTTTAGCATAATATATGCAGAGAAATTAAATATTCTCAAATAAGTATTTGCATAATGCTCAATTATCAAGGCTAACATCAAAGGCAAATATCTACCTATGCTGATTTAGCAGTTACTACAGCAGGTTGTCTTGATCAGCATTTAATTTCCTTTCCCAGAAACAATCTGGTTTCCAAATTATAACAAGCACCATATCTTGGCTTCTACTTTCAGCCTAACTAGAAACTCAGGTTGAGATCAGCATTGCTACTATTCAGTGTCATTTTACAGAAACACAAGCCACAGTGGCCCATTACCTCTTTACAGTGGCCCAGTCATCTATCTAGAAATCAAGAAGTCAGGTTGGCTAGGTTAAATGTGAACTAGATTAAAATTCTAAACTTTTTTTTTTATTGAAAGAACCTCCCCAGTTATACCACTTTACCGTCCAATCCACCTTCTCAAAAAAAGTTTATCGCTAGAAATGATAGAGTCAAAGCTACAAATCAGGACTGAACTTGGATTGTAGGTAGAGGAAAGAACAGGCTGTCATCATATTATCAACACTATTTATGCTTGGGGAAGGCTGGGGGGGGAAATCCCTTTTTGCTTAAAGGCTTTACTTTTTTAAAGTGTTTTGGAAAAATAAAAGCCAAGTTTTGTCTGCTCACTCCAGAAGCACTGCATTTGTAAATATCATTTTATGCCAGTCAATCTGTGTTTACATCTTATAGCATTGTTCTGTAAACAGCTGATCAATTGATGTGCAATTTAGAGAGCATTAGGCTTTTCCACACATGGCTCTATGGAAGTGCCATTCAGTTTGTTCTTGCTTTTGTTCTTAAAAAGAATTTTCTTGTGAAGCATGCGTGTTAGCGTTGCTCCCTTCCTTCTGGTTTCATCCGACGCTGGCTGCTGCAGGTAAACAAGGTCATTGTGCGACTGGCTCATTCCTGGATCCTTCTGATGATGCCGTCGCCGGAAAAACAGCTTTGCACTTTTTTTCAAAGTTCCACCTGCAGAGGTGAACAAAATGGAGAAAGGGTTACCATTTAATTTTGTTTATAACATTGTATTTTAAAAAATTATGGTGCTTTCAATTGTAAGTTATGCCCTCTGAAATATGCAGTGTAAAAGATGGCTAGGAAGCCAAGAAAGTTCTGTATTGGAGCAAGAATATTATGAAAGTTCTCTAGGTTAGATAATATTAATACTCTGTTAAAGTTCAGTTTTGTATCTAGTCACAATAGTTAAGTTTGCTCATATCCAATCTCTGCTGTCAATGAGACTCTCACATGTCAGAATGCATCTATATTGTAGGGTACTGCATTTGCAGCAACATGCACACCCACACCTTTCCCCAAATGGAACAATCTTGGGAAAGTCTAACCTCTTAAATTAGTGAAAGAGCAAGACTAAGTGTACTTAGTTCCCCTCAATGCCATGAAAATAGCACTTTTCATGCTAATCTAATCACTCAAATCATGAAGACTGCAATAATTATAGATCTCTATGCACACTTACAGGTAATAGAAAAGTCAAGGAAGAAAAGATTATCTGCAACACAAGCAACAGGTGTTTATTGTTACAAGGAACACTAAAGAGAACAGTAGTTTTCTTTCAGTCCTTGAAAAAAAGTGTGGTTGAAAAGAACAGAGGTGCTATTATTGAGCAAGGTACAGATGAACATTGTTAATACTGGAGATCATTTGAATTCTCTATTTTTTCAGGACCAATTCATGAGTCCTGTACACTTCTCTTTCCTTACATATGATTAGCTTTAGTTGCTCTCTTTAAAGGCCATGATAACATATAGATATGCACAAGGTTCATTGTGGGCTGAAACATACCAGGATCTTCAGGTTTTCACATTTCATTCTGATTGATTTATTCCTTCCAATGCATTAGGAAATACACATGTGGTATGGCTGAAGAGATGTGCAATGAATTAGATGATATGTTCAGAAACACAGACACACTTTCCCTCTTTCCGCTATCTAGTGCATTGTGTGGATTGCTGGTGAAATATCAAGGAAGCTGAAAAAGTGCAGACAGCTAGTTTCTGCACAAGATGAAGTTGGCATTTTAATTTCAAGTTCAGGATCCCCACTGGCATCTGTAAATGCTAATTTAATTAAGAGCACAACACACATATGTCTGTACATGTCAGCGTGCATTACAGGTGGATCTGGTAGTGCCACCTACAGTTAAGTTGCCCAATACTTGCAATAACAAGGCCCTGCTGTCAGGTGTGTATAACTTTGCCTAACCTAGCTGATGGGCATGGAAAATGTCAGGCAGGTACCTGATTCAGTCTAAATTTCTTCATTCTTTAAAATTTCAGCTGAAAGGGTTCACCGGAAGGCTGTGTCAGAACGAGGCCAGGGAAACAGACATTGTTTTGCTCACTAAAAACATTCTTGAGACTGTTTCATTGAGAAGCTCTGGTGCCTTCACATTTCGCAGGGAGCCTGCGGTTAAAGATGTGCCATTTAACGATGCCATAAGGAGAGGAAAAAAAGGGGAAGGGTACAAATCTGGACTAGTAATAAATCTTCAAAAAAAATTGAAGTTTGCACATGCTACGTACAGACTTGTTAGAATTCAGCTGCCAAATTCTTCAAAAACCCTGTTTCTTGTCAAGCAAGGTTGTTAAAAATGAAGACATAGAATAAATTATAGTTATAGAATAAATTATAGAATAAATTAATACTTCAGTTACATGAAAAACACTTAAGAATCCAGTTCTAATTAATGCATAAAAAGGCAACTGACGTGATATGCAATCATGCCAACTGCAGCCTGTGTCTGCTTAATCAACATGCATAGGTTTATTGAGGAGCCAATGGGAGCCATGAGGCTCTGTGGCGCTGGTAAGTAAACAAACCGGAGCGACTCGGTAGCAGCTCTTTCAGAGTAGGTCCATGGACCACTTTGAGAAACACTGCTCTGTTCATGCAGATTTGAAATTGGCAGTTAAAATGAAGTTGGGAGTGAGGGGGAATGAAGCTTAGGACCCCAACATTGAGCATCAAGCACTCATGATTCTCCTCTCTGGAGCTCGAACTAGTACAAGAAAACAAAATGTGGTCTCCACTACTAATTTGCCAATGCTGTACAGTGGGGGTGGGCAACATTTTTTGATGAGGGGCCATTTCAAGAATTTGGTAAGTGGTCAAGGACCACACTCTTCCAGGATATTAATGGAGGAGGTGTGGGATCTGGGATGGAGGTTGGGTGCAGAAGAGAGCTTGGGGTAGGGGACTGGGATGCAGAGGGGGCTGCAAGGTCTGGGAGGGAGTCTGAGTGAAGTAGGGGGGTTATGACCTGGGGCAGGGGAATTGATGTGCAGAGGTTGGGAGAGGGGATTGATGCAGGAGGGGATGGGATGGGATGGGATGGAGACAGAATTTGGGTTATGTGGGGTAAGGGGACAGAGGATTGGGAATGGGCTCAGGTGCCAGAGGCAGGCTCTGGCCAGGAGATACTTATCTTGGGAACTCCCAGCCAGCAGCCCAGCAGATTCCCTTCCTTCCATACCCCAGCAGACTGCTCAGAGCAGCTGGCTGCGGGTCATGTGCATCTGTGAGCAGCTCGGAACCTGAGGGGAGGGAGGATAGGGGTACTTCACATGCTACCAATTCTCCAAATAGGTGGGTCCCATTGGCCAAAAACCAGCTAATGGGAGCTGTGAGATTGTGCTGGGGGCAGCACACAAAGCTTCTTCCCCTCTCCCTGAGCTCGCAGCTGCTCACAGATAAACAGGGCTCCATAGCCAGCTTTTCTGAGTGGCATGCGGGGTCAGGGCAGGCAAGGAGCCTGCCTGAGGCACCTGCTCTGCCCACAGGCTGGATTCAGTGGCTTGAAGGGCTGGATCTGGCCTGCAGGCCATATTTTTCTGGCCCTACTGTACAGTCACAATAGCTTGTAATCACACCACTATCTAATCTAACAAGTCTAGTGAGGTTCTTTTATGGGCACCCATCACCATTTTGATGCCCATTCACTTAATTTTACTATCACCACCTATGACTACAGAAATCAAGGCAGATGGGGAATCCTTTTACATGACACCATACACAAAGTTGGATTTGGCTACCATTATTGTCACTGGAGTCTCCTGCCAAGTGCATCATATTAAGATATAACCCAATTAAATCCAAAGCACTATCCTCACAGTTAACACCAGATTATTTGTCCTGTACAACACTGTTCCCCATTCCCACTGACTGATGATTGAAGATATTTAATACATTTTTTCCTTAATTAAATGAGTTTCACATCCCAGGTCTTTATATTGTCCATAGCTTTGGACTAAAGCCCCTTCTTTTCCCAGTCGTCTCGATTCCACAGAAGTAGCTTTCATCCAGGAACTGCAATAAAGTTATTTAATAAACACCTCTGCTTTCACTCTGGTACTGCTTAGAACTTAGTGTTCAATCTATACTTCTGAAACCAGGAGTATCTTTCTTTCACCAGCAACACCCCCTTAAACAGCCAGGTTAGCTGAGCAGTGGCGCGCAAGAGCAAGTGACTGGAGGCAAGTAAAAGCAAATACAAAGTCAACATGTATTCTCATGCAATCCTTTTGTTAGGAGAAAGGGAGTTGGGCAAGCAGAATCCTTAGCAAGCGCTCTGGAGGAGTTCAAGTCACAATCAAGTGTTACTTTTTTTTTTGCTTGGCTCCATAAAGGCAAATAAATGGGCATTATGTACATAATCAGTAATATGGTTTTTGAAACAACACTACAGTATTTTAAATATAAAGATCAGATAGCTCAAATAATTAGGGACTGTTAGTAAAGAATGTTAGACACCCATACATGATTTGTAAAACACAAGAGTATTTACGTATGGTTTTGCAATGATTTGTAGTTTGTACGTGCAGGCCTTTGATTGGCTCCCAGCTACTACAGGGATGAGTGCCACAGAAATACAATGAGATGCAAGGAACACTGCAGTAATTATCCAGGTCTCCCCAATTGTTATCTTTTACCTGATAATCTGGACAGAGCAGAGGGGAATCTTCTCTCTCCTGCCCCTACCTCCCAAAAATCAATTATTTGTAAGCATAACACACCCACAACTAGAATGACTTGCTACTACAGATTAACCTGCTAAAAACTCTCTACATAAAATACAAGAGAGTATTGTGGAGAGAAGGAATAAACCCAACACTGACATGGGGAAGATGTTAACAGGTGACAAAACAAATCTTGAATGAAAGTAAGACAAAATAACTTACTGTGTAGCAATTAATGCAGGCTGGCATAGTAGTCCTCTTAAGTTTACAAAAGACATGGGTAAGAAAGATGAAGTCAGAAAGGTAATAAGAGGTAAAAACACTTGCAAGAACAAAAATAATAATGAACGACAGTACACATTTTGAATCATTAACAAAAATCCTTCAAGTACAATGTTAAAGTAGCACATCTGGCAAATGCTTCCCTTTAAAAACAAATCTGCATTCATTTTGCAACAGAAACATCTCATACTAGCATATTTTAGTGGGGAGCGGATGAAGGAAGATACATTCCTGTCTTACTCCACAAAAGCCACCATGCTGTGAAACAGCACGACATACAAGAGCTCCACAGTTCGACTGTGAATTTCTTTTCTTGAATAGGTTTTTGCATAGAACAGCACCGTGCTATTTATGGAGTGCAACACAAAACCCCTCAGGAGAGGTAAGAATACAACTCTTGCTACATTGTGTTTTTTGCACTCTTGTATTACATATGAACACTGAACACATCCACTGAAGATAGATGGTGAACATAATTATTTTAAAAGTGTGTGTGTGTGTGGGGGGGGGGGGAAGACGAGTGTTTAAATCTGAGCAGTTAGATTGTACAAAGAAAAGAGAGTATGTTTTTAATATACAGTAATTTCTCATTTAACACGGTAGACATTTCAGAAAATGATCATGTTAAGTGAAAACATGTTGGCTACGTCTACACTGGCCCCTTTTCCGGAAGGGGCATGTAAATTTCACCAGTCGTCGTAGGGAAATCCGCGGGGGATTTAAATATCCCCCGCGGCATTTAAATAAAAATGTCCGCCGCTTTTTTCCGGCTTTTAAAAAAGCCGGAAAAGAGCATCTAGACTGGGGCTTTTTTAAAAGCCGGAAAAAAGCGGCGGACATTTTTATTTAAATGCCGCGGGGGATATTTAAATCCCCCGCGGATTTCCCTACGACGACTGGTGAAATTTACATGCCCCTTCCGGAAAAGGGGCCAGTGTAGACGTAGCCGTTATGCGGGGTCAATTTTCCCATTAAAATTAATGGAAAAGGTGGGGGTTGCATTTCAAGCAGTGGGGAATGGGGAAACCCAGCCACCGGCCTGCAAGCTGGGTTGGAAGAGAGGGAACAAGGCATCTGGCAAAAAGGGGGGGGAGGTCTCTGGGAAACGGCGCAGTGAGCAGAGAACCCTCTGCTGCTTTGAAGAGAGGCGGGGGAAGCCCCGTGCAGCTGCTGGTGACCCGCTGGCTGGGGAAACCCAGCCACTGGCCTGCAAGCAGGGGCGGAGGAGAGGGAGCAAGGTGTCCAGCAAGAAGAGGTCGCTGGGGAACGGCACGGCCAACCCTTCGCTGCTTTGCAGGGAGGTGTGGGAAGCCCCGCGCAGCTGCTGGCAACTAGCCGGCTGGGGAAAACGTGTTATTTTGGGGACAGTCGTGTTGTTCAAAAAACGATCACAAAAATGTGTTAAGCGGGCACATGTTAAGCGAGTAATTACTGTAACTGCATTTAAAACAAGGATGCAAAATCCCTCTTAAATTGGTTAAACATTATGCTTAACCGGTTAACTGATTAAGCAGGATCCCTCAGGCAGTGTCCCGGCCCAACCGGAGCAGCTCACAACCCACTGGCCCCATTGGGGCTGTCAGTTAACCATTCACATCCCTAATTTAAAAAACAACAACCCTGCCCAAACTGCTATTCAAATACAAGACTGTCTTCTGAAAGCAAATTCTGAAATGAGGTCAGAGGTTTAGTTAGCGTGCACTCTCAAATCACATGATTTTTTAATTTTGGGGGGGCTCAAAGGGTGTGACAGTTAAGCCTCTTTAAAGCACTTCTTAATGATCAGCTTATGGACACATTTGCCAAACTGCTCATTCACCATGACAGCTTCAGGTGCTACATTAAGTGATTGCCAGGAAAGACAAGATGGGAAAATCATGGCAGAATGGGAAAAATCCTCAGCATATGAAGATCCACAGTATAATTTTATGGCTGAGATAAGGCACTTGATTTTGGGGTGTGGTTTTCAGTAACACTCATGAAGGCCATTAACAAAACAAAACACAACCCCACCAAGGAGAGGATTTGAAGGGGATGGGATGCATAAGAACTTCAGCAGCTACTGGACAGTGATCCTCAGACTTGCCTTTCCCCTAAACTAGTAACAGGCAAGTAGGGGAATGGATGGAGTCTATTGAACAGAGAATGTTCCCAGCTCATCTTCAAGCTGGTTTCTTTCAAGTTCAAAATCCCACCACTCTCAGAACAGAAACAATGAGTCTCAAATTCATCTACAAGGTTAGCTGGGGAGGGGAAGAAGAGAGAAAATCTCATGAGCCAGGAGGCAGAAGAAGCGCCCTGGTTGCTAGCAGTCCACAGGCGCACTAAGACAAGTATCAGTTATGACAACAAAACAATTTGTCCCTTATTTAAAGAAAACAATCACATCCTGTGTGTCGTTCTCTTTTGTAAACAGTTGTATTATTGAGAAAGGCAAGAGGGGAGAGGGACAAACTGTTCAGTGGGCAATTTAATATTCACAATGAGTAAAAAGTTAATTAGGGATACACACATGTGCTTTTGTGGGGGAGGGTCGGGGAAGTTTATGTGCAGAGGAGATGGTGAAGAGCATTGTTCTCTTTATTTGGGCCCCTTGATATAATTTACAAGAAAGAATTTGTATCAGCAAATTTCAGTTTGCTCACGGATCTCCTCAGAGAAGCCAGATGACTTAATGCATTTGGAGTGGTTTACACTTTTGCTCTTGGAACAAGTCCTTGCATATTGTGACAGAGGGGTATAGCACAGGTAAACCTGTATTGTATGTTTTGTGGTTAAAGGATTTCGTTCTTCGGGGTCATCAGTTTGGCACTTTTCACCAGCAGCAAATCCACTTGGAAGTTTAAGAGGGGGAAAAAAAAAAGATAAGACTGGAAAAGATTCACATGATAGCCCTGCTTGACAAAGACGCTCAAGTTCAGCTATAGGAATCAGCTCTTTGATACAGTTCTAGGTAAGTGTGAAGAGAGCTCATATACCTTTAGATTTTTTCACATTCCCAGATTCCAAGACACTTAATGAACTCCCGGACATCTCTTCACAGTTCTGGTCTGAAAGTACATTGCTGTGCCATTGTTGGCTGCTGTTATTCAAGTCCCACGTATTATGGCTATCTTCCTGTGGGTCAGTGGCAGGCAGCATTTGTGAAGCAGCTGATGGTAGTTCTTTGTTGGAGGGGACTTCTGTGGTAAAATCCCCCACAGTGAATAGGCTGCCTTCTTTACATGAGCCATCCATGGCTGCTGCATAGTCCATCATCAGTGTGGCTTCACTGTCCTGAGATAAGGAGGTCTGCCACAGAGAGAGAGGTGAGAGGGGTGAACAATTACTATTTGTTGGACAAACCAACTGCCACCCCAAAGGCTTTAATTCATTCTTTGCACCCTGTCTGCATTGCCCTGCTATTTCCAGCAATTCACAGTATTGTGTATTCTCTTTGCTTCTCCTTTTCTTAGGAGAGAGCACAGCTAACTTAACTTCGGTTTCAACAAAATAGTTAGGGCTTGATTTAAACAAAGAATCTACTGCAGAAATCACTACTGGTCAGTGGAAGACTGTCCTTTCCAAGTTAGCATCTGTAAGAAAAAGGAACTAAAAAGGCATCAGCTTCCAGAAAAATCTAAGTTTTGGTTAACAACAACAACCACCACCAACAAAAAAGCTGCAGTAAATTTGACTGCACTGCAGCTCAAAAAATGGAGAAGCAACAGAGGCCTAGGAGCTATTGGGTAGGAAGAACAAACAAGATGTGAGTGGGGGGACAAAGTCAGAAAGCTACCTGAGGATATGGAACAAAAACTACTTCTTTTTCAATTGCCAGAGAGGGTGATGGGGCATTTAAAATAAACGAAAATCCTCTTACAGGAAGGTCAGTCTGAAAGGTGAAGCCCCCATGCCTAATCTAGACACTGTACTCTGGTAGAATTCTAACACCAGCTCCTTGCCTTGCTGCTGGAGTTCTCACCAGGCTAGTGAGCCTGAACAGGTCCTCCCCAATCTCTAACCACAGCCCCCAACTCCAGGATAATGGTCTCTACCTAGTACAGTTTGTCATCTGGCTAAAACGTGTCTGAAATTCTTCGCTTGTAGGCTTAACTTGCAACGCTCATTAGCAAAGCAACAAGGATATACAACCCAGCTGCAGGAAAAACTACCAAACGGAAGAGAACAAAGTACGTGTTCACATATACTCAGCAAAGCAAAGAGTCTCTTCAGTGTTGGCCACTGAATGCAGGTGTGATTTTGAACGCTACCTTGGACACCCCAGATATGATAATGGTGCTCTTCTTTCTTGGAGACTTCAGTGTCTGCTTTGCAGACTCACTGAGCTGTCGAATGGCTACTTCAGCGACTGGGTCAGTGCCATTCAACACCAGCAGCTCTGAAAAGAAAGGAAAGTGCTTTACGTTAAAAACAGGTATAAGAGCAGGAAGAGGAAAACTATTGGAATTTTAAACACCACATGAACTAAATAGAAGTCAGGAATAGGGGGCCAACTGCTGGGCTGTAATCTGAGGGCATGCCAGGGACATGGCCAGAACAGGGCTAGGTGGTTCTCCTTGCCACCCTCACAGGAGCCAGCCCAGGCCCTGCTGCACCGCCCAAAGGTTTCTCCACACATCCCTGACTGGTGTTTGTCTAACTGGTTCTTATGATGGAACTTTTCCTGGGCAGCCACTTGACCACGCAGCTTAAAGGGAACACAGCCTGCGGGACTCAACTCATTATGCCTCTACAACTTGACTGTGAGCCAATGATAACTCTGGGAATAGTTTTCCAACCAGTTATGTACACCGCCTTTTAACAGCTCCATCTAGATTGTATTGCCCGAGTTTAGGAGAAAGTCATACAAGACTATCAAAAGCCTTACTAAAATCAAGATATACCACACTGACTGCTTTCCCCTATCTACAAGGCTTGTTGCCCTCTCAGCTATTAGGCTGGTTTAAATTGGGGTAGGGAACCTCAGTCCTGTGGGCTGGATCCACACACCCCTCTCCCGAGGCTCCAGGCTCCCCCAGCATTGGGAAACAGGCTGCAGCACACAAACTACTAGGCTAAACCCCCACAGGCTCTGGACGTGCAAGGAAATATGGGGAGTGTCTTTCTGCTTCTCAGTTAGGGACCACATCAGTGAGGGGATTTTTTGTTTCTCACTTGTGTGAGGCCCCCAACTGATTTTTCTATGGGTCAATGGCTCCCCAACTCTCCAAAAAAGGATCCCCACCCCTGGGTTAAATGTTATAAATGAAGTAAATAAACAGGTCATAAAGAGGCCTATGCTAAACCAAAAAAAATATTTAAAATAATTTGCATGAACTTAAATCTCTACATTAATGACAACAGCATATTATGGATCTTTGTCTGGGGTCAGCAAATCTTCATATTCTAGCAAATCCTCCAATCGTTTCAGGAACTGTGCTTCAAAGTATGTTCTTCATGTGCTAATCCTTACCCCAAAGGAGCAGTAAAATCCACTGCATGTACCATGTAAAGCTAGACTGGCTGGACATAACAGGTCTCTACAAGTATTGATTTCCATGATAGTCTAGTTCCAAGAAAGGAGTGATGTTCACTAGACCCAAGGAGTGAAGGACACAAGGAGAGTGAACAAAGGAATAAATTTTTATAAACATGTATTTGAACTATTTTCAGATTGTACGAAGAGATCCACAAGACCATATAAATAAGGACACTGAAGATTCAAAATATGAAGGGGGGAAAAGGTGTTCACATTTATATACATATGAAGGGTCTGAATCTATATTTAATATATTAAAAAGCATATGTAAACACATGCCAAAAGTGAATTCCAGAGGAACAGTTCTATCACCACCTAGTACATTAAAAACACACTTCATCTTTTATCTACATGATGATTTACAAGAGATAGAGAAGCAGGCGCAGTGGGGATACATGTGTTGCTTAAAGTCACCGAGACAATGGAGAGAATCCAGGCTTCTGACTTCCATAGGCGGTTTCCTCTTCCACCACGTTAAACACAAGTCAAAGAGCACCTGCTCTGACAGGACGACTCAGCAGTGGCCCCACTCACAGGGGCTTTCGGGCACTCTCCCCTCCGGTGGAAGGGGTTTAGGAATTCTGGATTAGGAAGTCTTTGCAACTTCCCAATGCCTTAGATCACAGGGATGTATGGGAAAGAGATTTTCAGTTGATGAGGGGAGTGCAGAAGGTGTGTGTTACATAGGGTAAAGGTGCAGGGGGAGGGGAGGAGAGGAAAGAGTTGGGAGGAGCTGAGGTGCCAGAGACAGGCTCTGGCTAGGAGGCACTTTCCAAGGTGGCTCCTGGCCAGCAGGTCCCTCAGTCAGGCTCCCTGCCTGCCTCACCCCATACACCACTCAGTGGCTAGCTGCTAGAGCCATGTGCTGCATGAGCTCAGCTAGCAAGGGTGGGGGGGCTGGGGAAGCTGTGTGTGCTGCCTGCCCTGCAAACAGGCAGCTCCCATTGGCCAGTTTCTCATGGAAGCACAAGCCCCCTGAAGACAGTCAGGTGAAAGCCCAGCTGAGGAAGGCAAGCCCCACCCTGGCCCCTTCTGCTTGAGCCCTACCCCTGGAGCCAAGCCCCGCCCACCCTCCAGCCTAATCCTTCCAGGCCATGTGGAGAGTTGGGGCTGCAGTGCTGTGGCCCTGGCCCCAGCCCCCCCGCCCCCCCAGTGGCTGGGGGCAGTGGGGCTGCTACACTACAACCCCAGCCTTCCCCAGCAGCAGCCCCAGCCTTTGGTGGTTGTGCAGGTAGGCATTTTTGGGAAGGCTGTACCTTCCCTGGCTATATTACTGGCTGCCCATGTAGCCATTGCGAGTAACATGCTGGGGCAGGGCAGGCAGGAAGCCTGCCTGAGGCTTCTGACAGATTTGGCGTGTGGGCTATATTTTGCCTGGCCCTGCAGTAAGGCACAGGTCCTGCTGTTAATGTAATGTTGTAAATTAACGTTTTAAGATAATCTGCTACACAAGAGATTAAAAAGGATATAGACACGGGCTTTGGATGTTTCTCTCACCTGTATCTGAAGAGGATAACACTTTGCTGACTGGAGCACCTTGACAATGAATTGCTTGCACTGAGAAATCCTTTTCAATCACCTTCACTTTAGTAGGAGTTTTCACAGGAGAATCTGAGAAGCATAGAGAATGTATAAAGTGTTATAGGGATTTCCCTGGGGTTGAGTATCTGCATAATAGTTCACCAAAGGATGACATGAAAGTTCTCTACCAGTAGCCCACCGATCATCATAATCATTGAGAAATGTATGAGCAGATAGTATTTAAAGGAGTGGTGTATCTATATTGAAAATTAAGTTTAAGATCTTGAAGTAAAGGGATGTCACCAGGACGTGACATTCCTCAGAGGCATTCCTTGCAGGCAAACATCCCTGTTTGGTCTATCATGTATGCTATGTCTTATGCTATAGTCACTGGGCTGAGTCTGCAAACAGGCCAACAGAGAGACCATGAAATTAGCAAGAAAGGAAACCTACAGGATGAAACAAACAGGAGGTGGTGTGCTATTGACGAATAAAATAAATATTGGTCTGGTCTACCAGGAGAGACATCCATACTTACAGACCTAGATCAGTACAACTAGCATGCTTAGAAGTGTGAAAAATCCACACCGCTGAGTCATGTAGTTGTACTGATCTAATGCCCCGTGCAGACAATGCTGGGTTGATAGGAGAGCTTCTCTTGCTGGCATAGTGACCGGCTCTTTGGAAGGAGGATTAACTATACTGATATGAACTCTAAAAGCTGCATAGTAGCATCTTCACTAAAGTGCTACAGCTGCTGTACTGGAAGACAAGGATTTGGAGGCAAGAGAAACATCTTCACTAAAGTGCTACAGTGGTACAACTGCTGTACTGGAAGACAAGAACTTGGAGGCAAAAGAAACACAAGCTCCTTCAGCTAGGAGGCAAACTGACAGCAAGTACATCTCATAAAAGAAGTGTCAAAGTCTGTCTGGCTGTAAAGTGCTGCAGGGATTTTGAGAGAGCAATACTTTATTAGATGTGAGAGTACCTTGTTAAGTAAGGATGATGATTCTATCTTGCATGTCATTATTTGTTTCCAGGACTTTTACTTGCTACTCCTTGAATCTCTATATGCTTTGTCAAATAAACTTAAGATATATTTATACTGAGATCAGATCTAAGTGCTGAGTGTTTGGTGGAGCAGCTATCTAAGGCAAAACTGGAGCATACTGCTTTTTTTGGGAGCAGTAGATTTGTGCGTACTGCAAGTGACCAGTGGACCAGGGGGTGGGCTGGCTACTCCAGGGAAATGCTCAGAGGATTCCAGGATTGGACTGTGCCTATGGCTACCTAGCAGAGAACCAGCAATGCCTGTAAGACAGAGGGGAGGGCTTGTGTTGCCCATGGCCAGGAGACTTAGGAAGCAGACCCACAGACACACACAGACCAGGCATTTTCATGCTAAAGGCCAGTGGTAGCAAGGTGGCCCCCCGCCCCCAGGAAGTGTCACTAGGTAATCACACTGTTTAATAAGGAGGGATTCCAGTCGAGGATCCTGGTCAGGTGTCAATGGTAGCTGAGCACAGCAATGATCTATATTAAAGAGTTGGGGGCAGAGGAGATAAACAGATAAAGAAGTGCAGAAGTTAGTTTTAAAGCAGTGCATCTTCCATATAAGTAATCTGGTTTAATTTATAGCCTCTTATTGTGAGTATACACATATGGGTAGGTGGGAAGGATAAAGAGGTGGAAGAGAAGTGAATGATGCCACATTTTCTTCCCTTCCCTCATGTGACTGCCAACAGAAGTAATAAACCATTAAACTATGCTCCAAGAAAGTATTATGAATGTTAAAGCAAGATATCCCCACAATTTCAATTTCTGTTCTGGGAATACTCGGTGTCTTTGTTATGCATAGAAAATATGGAAAAACAAATAGACTGACAATCTGACATCTCATAGGCACATCTGTTAGCAGCTTGCTGCCTGTTTTTAGTCTCGTGCCATCTTTTTGCAGGAGCAGATTGAGAGATGGTCATCTTAACAAGGGTGTAATAAACACCCCAAATACAATGGATTTATATATTAATAGAAGCATTGTACGATCTACTCTTCCCCATTCTTAGGGTACGTCTACATTTGCACTCTAGTTCAACCTAGGGATGCAAATGTAGCCAATCGAAATTGCTAATGAAGCGGGGATTTAAATATCCCACGCTTCATTAGCATAATCTCACCCGTGCGCTATTCCGCTCCCCAGCTGATTCGAACCAGGAAGTGCGCTCTGGGACACATTAGTTCGAATCAAACCCCTTGGTTCGAACTAATGCTACTCCTCAAAAAATGATCAGCTAGCGAGCAGAATAGGGCATGGGCGATATTATGCTAATGAAGTGCAGGATATTTAAATCCCCGCTTCATTAGCAATTTCGGTCAGCTACATTTGCATCCCTATTTCAAACTAGGGAGCAAGTGTAGACGTATCCTTGGAGATTTAGTATTCTCTTAGAAAAGACACACAAAAACCCAGCCTCACCAATGAAAGACACCAAACATTCACACTACCAAGCAAAGGAAGTCCTGATCATTTCCTACCTTACTTACTTCAAAGGGAGCAAAATCAGCCTTCTAGTAATTGGCAAAGACTTCCATTGACTTCAGGGGTGGAAGAAGACCTGGCTTCATGTCAAAGAAATTTTTTTATCCCAAGTACCCACGACCACATCCACTGACCCATTAAGCACAAAACAAATCCCCATCCAACAGATATAGACCAGTGGTCTCCAACCTTTTTACACCCAAGATCACTTTTTAAATGACAGAACAAGCCAAGATCTACTGCCCTGCCTCTTTCTTGAATCCCCACCCCTTCCTTGAAGCCCCGCCCTTTCTATTCTCCTCCTTTCCATCACTTGCTACCCCCAACCCTTATACTGCTGCTTTTTCTCCCCAATTCTTCTGTAGGAAGAGGTTTTTCCAAAATTTGGCCTGTCTAGATTGGACCAAATATCAGAAAACCCCTTATTTTGGAAGCCCCCTTATTCCTTGTGGAAAGAGGAATATAGGGGTGACCGAAAGATCACCGTTGCTCTTTCACTAAAAGAAGCGGAAGAACAAACGCATCCCTGGATGCGGAAGAGTTTTTCTGGAATATCTCTGGAATCCTGAAACTCCTGTAGTCTGGTCGTATTCTCGCTGGGTTGAGACAGGATGTGTAGGCTCTGGGGTGGAAATGAGGGATTTGGGTGTGGGAAGGGGTGAGAGGTGCAAGCTCTGGGAGGAAATCTGGATGCAGGAGGAGGTGGATAAGGGGACGCTGGCTCGGGGAGGGGACTCCAGGCCGGGCAGTGTTGGGGTCAGATGGAGGGTTGGGGTACTAAGCAAGCTACAGGCTTGTGGATGTGGGGGGTCAGGAATTTGGGTGAGGGTTCCAATGTCTGATAAGCTCAGATGTAGGGTCTGGGGGAAAGGGGAGTGCAGGAGTGTTATGATGCTGTGGCCAGATGGGGGCTTGGCCCCAATTGGGGGTTTGTTGGCCAGGCTTCATTTTTAAATAAAATACTATGCCAAACACAAAAAGTTTCTGCATTGTCTTTATTTCTGAGAAGGGCAGCGAACCTGTTTTGAGTCAGGGGTCACTGACCCACAGAAAAGTCAGTTGGTATGTTTTTTGCATCTCACTTGTGTGGCCCCATCCTCCAACGCCCCCTCCCCTATCCCCAAGCTTCACTAATGTGGCCCCAACTGTGTTGTTGAGAACAGAGGACATGGTACTGGGGAAGGGAGCTAGTGGGTGCTTTGGCAGGGGACAGGATGCTAGTGGGGACAGAGGAGAGGGAACAGGGGGCTGGGACGGGAGAGGACAGGTTTCTGCAGCTAGCGCCAAGGTGCCACTGGGGACAGAGTTCTGTGGCTGGGGACAGGGAAGAGGAGACAGGGGGCGCAGGGAGGGCAGGGGTGCCACTGGGGGCAGGGAGTCTCCTGTACTCGCCTCCTCCCAGGATTCCCCCCCCCCGCCCCGGGAAGCCTGGGGCCAAACCCCCCCACCCCCTGCGCGCCTGCCCTGGGGCCGACTCACCCCTCCTGCAGCGCAGGGAAGCTGCCACGCCCCTCCTCCGGGGCTAACGCCCCCTCCCACAGCACGCCCAGCATGCCACAGACCTGCGGGGGGGGATTAGCCAGCGCACTTCTGGAACTCCCAGAAGTGGCGCAAAGCTGCAGGATTTCTGTCCACCCCGCGGGAAGCTGGGACTACCTCCATTGTTGCTGGAGGTAGGAAGTGGGGCTTCTCGGGGCTGAGGGGAAACGTGGGGGGGCCACCCCGAACCCCTCACGATTGACTGGTCAAGGCTCTGTGATCGACCAGTCGATCAAGATTGACTGGTTGGTGACCATGGATCTATACAATATTCCTTTTTCTTTCCCCCATCCCCTGCCAGAACTAAAAACCAGCACAAACCAACCAACCAAACATACATCTTGGCTTTGTATTTTAAAGTTTCTGCAATGTCTTCACCTGGGCTCAGTGCAGAATGTTTCCCTTCGAGTCGAGGTTTGGTTTTCACAGCAGTGACAGTAGTAACTACAGTCCCACAAGGCATTACAGTTCGATCCTTTTCTATCTTTGCGGCAGGAAGCTGAGTGGGAACTTGCCAGGATTTTGACTCATTAGGTTCTATGTAAGAGAACTAGAACGAGAAAGTTTAGTAATTAAAGTACACATTGAACCTCTCTGGTCCAGAACTTTTTGGTCCAGCAACACCTGTGGTACAACAGAACCACAGATGTTGTTGGACCACAGAGCCCCAGGGCCAGTCGCAAATTCCCAGTGGCCTCAAGGGGCTGGCCTTCCCTGGTCTGGCAAACTCTCTCCTTTGGGACCAGACCAGGAAGGTCCAACCTTAATAATTATATCTTAAAAGAAAAGAGGCACTCTTTGAAACAGCAGCTAGTATTGTAAAATGGACTAGATCAAAGATACTGACAAATGGTTACTGCATGTTAACAAGATACCTACAGACTTTAAAGCATGCACCAGAGTAGTTGCAGGGCAGATTAACCCCAACTTGCCATGAATCAAGCGTTCATGTAGATAAGCCCTTAGAAGATGCACATTATTCCTGAAAGCTCGGATCATGACAGTCACAGATTTTGCTTTAACTAAGTATGTATGAATCACTGTTACATAAGTACAAAGTGAGTTCACAACACTACCATTTTGATTTAGAAGCATAAAGCCAGTTGCCATTTTGTTAACGGTTACATATCATGCAGGGGAATAGCGTGTTAAGCCTGTACTCTTAAAATGTACAACATAGTTAAAAAAAAAAATCAACCATAAAGATAAGGATGTGATACCTCTGCAGTGACAGATCCTACCACAGCGCTATGACAGCTGGGCTTGCTGTTCAGCGCAAAGCTTTGTTGTCCAGAAGGCTGTTTCTTGAACAAGTCTAAAGGTACAATTGCCCATGCTGAAAAAGAACCTAAAATAAATGAAAGTGACATAGTAAGATTTCGCCTGAGCTGTCGTCAGCTTTGTGGTTATTTTGAAACTGAGGAAAGCAGAAGCCATTGCTATTTTAAACTGCTGAGGCACCTAACATTGCAAGGAATAATCTCTACAGCACAATAAGGTATTTACTTTATAAAGAGACAGGATTATTTGTAGACAAAATTTTTAAAGAAGGATCCGTCGTTCTTGCAGGCTAGGTTTTTAGGATAGTTATAACACTGCTTGACAGAAAGGCAAGCAGATGCTGAATCATTAATACTTCACTTTAAAAACTATTCTTCTCTGCATCCAGGATACTTGGGAGGATATGAAAAGCATTAGGGACTCAACATTGATGTGGTTGTTTGAAAGACAGTCCAGCTGAATTTTCATTTTCTCCTCAACTGCCCTTGTCTTATACAGCCAGTCCCCGACTTACGAACGAGTTACGGACCAAACACTTGGTCGTAACTTGAAGTGTTCGTAAGTCGGACCCCAATTCATTTACATGCGACCACGCTGTTCGTAAGCATGGATCACGTTCCTAACTGAGGGACCGCCTTTACGATTGCTTAATGGGAGGTTTGGTCGAAAGTACGAACGGTCGTAAAATGACCATTCGAAACGAGGGGACTTGCTGTATTTCATAGAGAAGGTTTCCTGGATTCATATTAGATTGGCAGAGCTAACTAAGAGCATTGCATGATGTTCAGTGGTGCAAGTAGGACAGTACACCTTATGGCAAGTTATTTTTGGCTGATACATTAGAGACACTCCTTGCCAGCCATCCCCAGACCCTCCACCAGGTGCCGCGTATGTGTACTGTGCTGGGGCCTGTAGAGAGAGATGGGGAGCTGAGCGTGCTTCAGCAGCCAGAAGAGCTGCCAGCATTCTGCTTCATTCCCCACTGCTCCTCCCCCTCTTTTCCTTGCTGGAACTGCCAGCCCCACCCTCCCCAGCCCTGTGCACAGATGGGCAGCTCTGTGGAGGAGCAGGAAGTGGGGCTAGAAATTCTACTTATTTCCCTGCACGCACTATTCAAGAAGCAGGCACACCATGGATTTAAATAGAATATGGTATTTTCTGTCTAATTCACCACCTCTTTCTTAATGAGTCCCAAGATTCTGTTAGTTTGACTGCACACTGAATGGTTATTTTCAGAAAACTATAGTGAATCCAAGATCTGTCTCGAGTGGTAATAGTTAATTTAGACATTTTTATATGTATAGTTGGGATTACGTTTTCAATGTGCATTGCTTTGCCTATATCAACATGAAATTTGTTGCCAAGTCACCCAGTTTTGTAATGGCTTTCCCTGAGAAGGGAATTATTCTTCAGTGATGCTATTGATTTTATGTGGCAGGAAGCAATAAAAAAACCTCTACAATAGATGGACCTACATTAAAGTTAGACTGCTGCCACCATTATTCAAATTGCTCTAAGATTCAACAACCACCATCATCAAATGCAACTAATTTTTTTTTCAGAAAAGCTAAATCTGTTATTACCTTGTTCTAATGACCTTGTATTTATATACTGTTAATCTCTTTCTTAGCAAATCAAATAAAGGAATAAAAGTGTTCCATTAATGCTGTAGGATATGTGTAGTCGCTGACATTTTGAAAGACCATTATTAAAAACATATGGGCAGGACAGGTTTTGGGTTTTTTTTGGTAGGTAGGTGACAATACATACTTTGCACCCTTACTGTGAAGTATTACTAAAATATAGCTTTTGTGAGTTGTGTGAAAGTTTGTTTTTGGTACACGTGCTTCTTCCCCTCCTCCATATTTCCATATATACATTTTTAACAAAGTGACTATTACTCCCCTCACCTCCCCCCCCCCCACACACACTGGGGGAGGGGGGGGGGGAAGGGAAGTTACTTTCTGTATATTTCTGATTCACTACCATTTATCCCCCAACACTAGCTTATTGCCACATGAAACACTGTTGAAAACTGTTGGGCCAAACATCCCCAATTACCAAAAGCATAACAAAATATAAAATTCACCCATCCTTGCCTTGTTTTGTGATACTTTTGTAATTCCTTTTTGCCAACTTTGAATTTAAAAATACATTTGATATGACTAATATAGCACTCTAAATATGGCTTTCATAACATGTTATTAAAATATGGCTTACATAAGTTATAATATTAGATTAGAGCTTAGTTAATAGGTAGGAAGCAGAAGGCTGGAACAAAGGTGTGTAGTAGAAAGTTAATCAGTGTGCTCCAACTTTGTTTTGAGCCATTATTCACATATAGTTAAGAATCTGACAATACTGAAATTGAGAATAGCTGAAACTCAAAGCATGTTTTGATTTTTACAGCATAATCCTGACATACTAGCAAACTTACCCAAGAGGTGTAACATGTATTTTACAGTTTTTAGCTGAAATGAAACTCAAGGGTGCAGAAATAACGCTAAAAGTAAATTTAGTTAGAATGGCATTAAATTGCTATTAAAGATGAAAAAGGATTGAAACGTACTGACTGAACCTGCACAGTGAATTCTTAGTCCAGCATTCAGCAACAGTAGCACATGAGGTGGCTTGTATTGAGAAGGGTCTGTTAGTTTAAGAATTCTGTGCCATTTCATAAAACTGCAAGTAATACACTAATCTGGAACAAGGTATTATGGCTCACATAAAAATTGTGAAACTGAATGTCCGCTTTAATCTTAAAATCTCCCTTCTCACCAGCAATTCAAGAAGAAAACTATGTCTGCTCCTCTCCTGACCAAGTAGAGAGTTCCTCTAACAGAAAGGTTTTTCTTGTAAGTAGGGATAAGGATCTCTAAACTGGGGTGACAATCAAATACCATAGCATATAATTCCCTACAGTCAAAGTTTGATTATACATAGGTGGGATTAGTCAGTTTTGGCCTCAAACACACTCAAGAAGGTAAAACCAGGGAAATCTAAGGCACGGTGAAACAATAGAAAACACCAGCCATGCTCAAAACAGCACTCAGAATTAAGTCTTGTTTCTACATTTAGTCCTGCCTTAGGACTTTGTTAAAGATTAAAGCAAAACCCAGGAACATGGAAAAGCTGTACAACATCCTCCTTCCTGCCCATGTTTGGGGACAGAAGGAAACAGCGAAAAACCCATCTCCACTTTGCAGTTGAATGTCACCTAAAAACTGCCACTGGAGTTAAATTCAAGATCAAAGGCTAAGTTGTAAGCCCAATTCTGCTTTAGGGTTTAGCTAATGACAGTTTACTTTCTGAAATTCTTCCTGAGTTGCCCTTGCCCCTGTTTTTAAATGGTCCAACCAAGCAAAACTCCAGCCCTTTATTTCTAAGGGCTCTCTTGCCTCAGCAACTATCAGCCTTCTGTTTCTAGAGTCATTGAGGCATACCTGATCTGGCTACCACCAGTTAGTCAGCAGAACAGGCCTAAGTCAGCAGAACAGGCCTAAATTGACTACAGACTTCTGAAGTCTGACAGTATCTTATATGATCGTATTCAACTACATAAACAAAAAAAGGGGATTTGTTTTAAGTTCTCAGTAATGCCAATGAGGGTACCAAAAGAATTTAGTTGAAGTACTTACTATCCAATTTCCCATCTTCCAAGATATGCAGTTGTAATTCTTTTGATTTTGCATTTAATTCACTGTGGAATAAATAAAGTGATGTCAGGCTTTTACAGAGTTTTTATTTGTTCTCAAGTCATTGCACTGGGAATGTTTCTCCCCTCTTCATTTTAAATTACCCTTTACGTCAGGGCTACTCACCTTTGGAAGCCCCGGGGCCCACAATGGTCCTCACAGCACATGCTGAGGGCTGCAATTTAAGTGTGGTTGCATATACATGCAAATATATATGCAAATATACACAAATAGCTTCTTTCACACTGATGGACATGGATACAAAGCACTTCCCACAATGCCCCAGCACTCCCGACACCTCCTCCCTGGGGGCTAGAAATGCTGACCCCCTGTATCATCTATTCCAGCCAGCCCGTCCACTTGCGTCTTTCAATGCTCACCCCACCTGGGAGATGCCTTGCTGTTGTGGAGCATGTTCCCAGCAGAGGCCATGTTCAGAGGATCCCACCTGTGGGCTGCGTGTTGAGCCCAGCATAAACCCAAACCGCATTGCAGGCCACAAACAAACCGGCTGCAGACTGCATGCAGCCCACGGGCCAAGTGTTGTGTAGCCCTGCTTTACATAATGCTTCAATTTCTACTAGGTCTCATGTATTACACCAATCATGCAATGCATTTTTATCGACATGTTAGTGGGAAGAGTTAAACATTTACAGCATTCTGCCCTTCAAATGCTAAAGAGAAAACATGTGTGCCACTTCTTGAACTCAAATTAACCTGAGGGAAGAGAAGGCTGGCATGCAGCCTGAACTTGGATCTATTTAGCTTCCTTACTGGAGTTAGGATTGCCTAAACATTTCTGTTGTAAGAGCGACTTTTTCCAGTTGCTTATATGCGTTGCCTTTCAGAATGAAGCTTTCCATTTCTGTTGTCTACCCACAGATTGAGAAACAATTTTTTCTGCACACAGCAGAGACAACAGCCTCCAAATTCAAGAACATGGAATAGATCCAGAAGTCTAGCATCCTGCCAATGCCAGACTATTCTAATGATGGAAGCAAATAAATCTCTGGCATAGATATCGGACCACTGGCTCTTAAATTTCTTGATTTAGCAATCATTAGAGCTTACTCTCCACCCCCTATATTATTCTGAGAAGGGCACATGTTATCTTAGCAAAAACTTAAGACTCGAGGTGAAACAAAAAACAGGACTATGTAGCACTTTAAAGACTAACAAGATGGTTTATTAGGTGGTGATGAGCTTTCATGGGCCAGACCCACTTCCTCAGATCAAATAGGGGAAGAAAATTGGCACAACCATATATACCAAAGGATACAATCAGAAAAATGAACACACATGAAAAGGACAAATCAAATTTCATAACAGAAGGGGGATGGGGAGGGGGGAGGTAAATGTCTGTGAGCTAATGATATTAGAGGTGATAATTGGGGAAGCCATCTTTGTAATGGGTAAGATAATTAGTGTCTTTGTTTAGACCTAGGCGTAAAGTACGAATGACAGTTCAGAGGTTTCTCTTTCAAGTCTAGTGTTAAAATGTCTTTGAAGCAGGATGCAGGTAATCAAGTCGTTGAGACAATGCCCTTTCTGGTTGAAATGGCAAGCAACTGTTTTTTCTTTGTGATCCTGTCTGATATCTGTTTTGTGGGCATTGATTCTTTGGCGAAGTGTCTGAGACATTTGTCCAATGTACACAGCAGACGGGCACTTTCGGCACATGAAATTTGATTTGTCCTTTTCATGTGTGTTCATTTTTTTGATTGTATCCTTTGGTATATATGGTTGTGCCAATTTTCTTCCACTATTTGATCTGAGGAAGTGGGTCTGGCCCACAAAAGCTCATCACCACCTAATAAACTATCTTGTTAGTCTTTAAAGTGCTACATAGTCCTGTTTTTTGTTTCAGCTACACCAGACTAACATGGCTACATTTCTATCACTATTAAGACTCAAGGGACATTGTAAGAGGATGAGAGTAAAGAACAAGTTGCTACATGACATGACCAGCATGAATCATTATTAGATAACTGCTTTTGGCACAACCTGTGGTGCTTGATGCAATAGACAAAAACGAACAAAACCAACCTAAATCTATGGCTTGGGTAGTTAAAGCAAATGGATATTGTGAAATTTCCTTTAAATGTTAGTACTTACTACAGAAGGAATAGAATAGAGTTCAATTGAGAACTTTACTATTAGAAATGTGATTTTACATCATGCCTCTGTTTAGATGGGAATTTTCTTGACTAAAGCAGAGCTGAGCCACAGGACTTCCAAGGAAGACACAGGGTGCACAAGGAAGGTGAATGGTGCTAGCAATTCAGTAGCTGGCACTTTTCCCCGTGAGCCAATACTCCAGCTTCCTGGTAGGGATAGTGGGCCTGACAGTGTTCTCTTTGGAGTGAAGGAAGATGTGCAACCAAATTCTGACTACTTATTGTTAAAGACCCCATAGGGCTTCTGCAAACTTATCATGTTAGGCACATCTAAAGCACCCAGCACCATGGAAAGCAGTCTGTTAACTGTGGTCTAATGGCCAAATTCTGGTCAATCCTGTTCTGCTCACCTGAATTCCCCCTGAAGTTTCAGCTGTAGAAGAATACCCTTTCCTCTTCCTATCCTAAAACAAAGGGTAACAGCTGCTTTGCAGCACTGAACACATACTGTTCTACCAACAAATAGCTGAAGCTAGTTGACATTTGTAACACACTGAGATCTTTCAATATGAAAAATGTTATTCAACTGGTTTATTTTTATTTGCGTTATTTCTAATGCAAATGAGTTGCATCGGGCTCATCGCAGCCATGCTGTGGCTCAGAATCTTACCATCAAGGCAGAGCAACTAGTCTGTGGCCTTATAAGAAAGCCACCACCTTAGCTGAGAAACACAGTCTCATCACTGAAAAACCTGAGTCCAGAAAAGAACATAAGTCACTAGAATTCAGGTGTCTTAAGATGGCAGCTCCAAGTCTAATTATTTTTCATTAGATACAAATAGACAACAGCACGCACTGGACACAGCTCCCATTTAAGTGCATGATAAAAATCAACATTTTCAGGATTGCATTAACAAAAATTCAGAGCACTTATCATACATTCAAAATCAGAGACTGAAATTCTCCACAGCCTAAACTATCTCAGACTATAATTCCTTCACAACCCATACACAGGTGCTGCTGCTGCTTCCAAAGGCTTTCACCTATGTCGTAAACACACACACCTACACACAGCATAGGGAACAAGGAAGAGAGAGAAAGTTTCCCTTCTGTACACTTGCACCCCCTGGGGCTGAAGAACACACGTGGGTCACTCCACCCATCAACCAGGTAATCAAGCAGCTGCCAGTGCCAGCAGCAGCAGCACACATCCAATCCTGCCCCCCAATCAGGTCTTCATGAAACCTGCCTGTCCGTCCTTTACAAGGGCAAAAGAGACAATGGATGCAGTACAGTGACTCCATGGTGAAGGGGGATGCTGATGACATAGCAAGTGGCACTTTTCCTCAAAACGAGGAGAGAGGAGGGAAGGTTCCTGAAATGGATTGGGGGAGAAAAGCTAAGCTGTAAGGGAGATGGAGACCCTGATGGGAGTTAACACCTTTGACTGTAATGTTGTAGGAGAAAAGCACCAAGAGCACAGTGCACACAGCAGCACCTCTTTTCCTCACTTATGACAACCTGCTGCTGCTTCCTCTGTTCCTTTTAGTCAGTAAAGTAAGAAGCTTTCGGCCCTATCAGTAGCTTCATCCTAAGCAACACCGAAGCTGGCAGGTACTCTCCGCATTGCCCTTCAAGGGGACAGCAGGAAAAGAATTTTAAGACTGCCACTTAAATTCCCTCTGTTGTGGTCACCTCAGTAGTATCAGAGTCCTGTCAGATAGCAGCTTTACCCAAACTGTCTAATCTTTTTCCATTCCCACCCCACAGCATACCACGCTGTGACCTGCTCTTACAACAGAACTATGCCATACCAGATGCCCTATCACATGACTAAGGCTTGGTCTACACTATAGAGTCAGGCAGTCATAAGGCAGCTTATGTTGACGTATATATCAGTGTCGCATGATAGTTTTGCTCCTGCCCATGCATGTGACCTACCACACTGGTAGAACAACTCCACCTCCAAGGTGTACACGCGCATGCCCATTTAGACACTGTGTTCCTGACATCATCCAGCTCTGCTAGAACTGTCAATTGATAAGAAAGCTGGCTCTTGGCTCCCCAGTCGGGCTGCTGTCAGGTCTCTGCTCTCAAAGACCAGGCTCCTGGCTTGGGCTGCCACATGGGCTCCTCTCTGGGAGCACAGCAAGGGACTTGACTTGGCATGCATCTCCCCTCTCTGAAGGCAAGAAGCCCAGATGGCTTCCCTTCGCTCCCAGGTGGAAGCAGGGAGCGGCATGTAACAGAGCATCCTGGCATTCAGCCCTCCACATTGCCCCTTTTCAGCCAGCGGAAGTGCACTACTGACAGAAGGAGGGTATACTGTGGTGGCTGATTCCAGGCATTACAGAGATGGCTGTAAATTTACCTATCACAGCTCGACTTAAGGGTATGCCTACACCACCATCTTAAATACTTGCCACCAAGGAAACCAACACACTCACTGGGTCCCTGGGCAAAGTGTGTGTAGGGGAGGGCAGCTCTGTGCTCGTGGAAGGGGAGGGACCTTGGGCAGAAGGGACGGGGCTAGGGCAGCCAGCTCTCACCACTGCCTGGATCACGCCCCGTGCCCCCCTCCTTAAATGCCATCTGGAGCACCCTGCCCAGGGTTCTGCAGCGTGTCATGTGGGGCTTCAGCAGCAATTTAAAGGACCTGGGGCCAGAGACCAGGCCCTTTGAATTGCCAGGCCCTGGGGCAGTTGCCCCTTTTGCCCCTCCCCACCATCCAGCTCTATTAGAAACCACATATCTATACCTCCCAATCCCAGACCCAACAATAATTCTCAATTAAAAGTAAACATAGATTTTACTCATTTTAACACTTGCCATATCTCAGTACCAGAAAACTGCTTTAAGACAGTTATACCCTGCTAGTGTCATATCACCTGAGATAACGGATAGGCCACATTAAAACACAATTTCTCTCTCAACATCTTATATAAATTGAGACTGTAGAAACATTTATTAGAAAATGTTCTGTTGGTGGTTACTTACAAGATGAACTTCTCTTTCCATGAGAAGTGTTTGGCTACAGAGCTGGAAAACTTCTGCTGAGGATCATTCAACTGAATTATACACACTGAATTTATGCTGCCTGTATAGGGCAAAGGAACAAAAATATCCAACTGTTTACTTCAAATCATCACTAAGTGTACTTGCCCAAGAGAAGATGACAACACCCCCCACCCCAGCAGAATTCCTTCCTCTGACTCATTATTAAAAAATTTAGGACCCAAAGATCTTACCAGTAGGTACTGGTGTAACAAAAGTCATGAAAAGTAAAGAGAGGCGAGGATGAGGGTAATAAATAGGAAATGTGGTTACAAAGAAGTTGTGTGAACAGCTACACGGTTTCAAGTTACTTAAATCAACAAATTAGATAAATATTTGAAGTCCTTACTGATTGTCTTTCTTGCTGTTTCTTGAGGAACGACTATTTCTTGTGTTAAAATTGACCACCATATTGTTAATGAACAATGGATTTATGAACAGCTAATTTTTAAGAGATCACACCAATGAAGAGCATTACTCTACCAATATAGAAATGTCTACTACAAGTTGAAGATAAAAGTGAGTAATTTTACTGTTACTCTAAACAGGAACAGTTTGTATTATTTATAGCTTCTAAAAACATACAGGAAAAAAAAGTGATTTTTACAATATCTGAAGTTACTATTCTTCATCTAGGGATGCTGGGGCACTAAGGAGAATGACAACATACACAGATTTGCGCACAAAAATAGACAAAGTTATATACTGACTCCACTTTACATTAGGGATGTTAAATATCAGTTAACTGAATAGTCAATTAACTTCGTGAATTTTTATCGGTTATTCAACTATTTTATAGTCCTTGGGGGTGGAGCCAGCAGCCACTGCATTCCAGCCCCACTCTCAAAGCCCTCTGCCACTTCGTGCTGCTGCCTCTGTATCAAAGGCAGCAGTGTGGGGTGCCAGGCAAGAGCTGGTCCAGGAGGGAAGCCAGTTTAAAAGCCAGCCTCTCTTGTGGACCAGCTGCCTGTCACCCCATGTTGTTGTCTCTGACACAGAAGCAGCAATGCAGGGTGGCAGCAGCCCCTGGCCTAGTAAGATAAGTCTGAGCTCCCAGACTTGACGCGAGCTGGAACCGGATTGGGCTGCTTGCCCGCCTGGCTCCCAATACATTTTAAAAGCAGAGCCGCAGCAGGGGGAGGTTCTGGACTCTGTGCAAGCTGGGACTGAGCCAGGCTACTGGCCAGCCTGCTGCTAATTTAGTGGCAAGAGGGGGTTGGGGTGGGATATGTGTAATTGGTCCATCAACTATGCTATTACATCCCTACTTAAAATATCTGTAATTTGCTATGTCACATCAATCCGAATCCCATACACATAAAAAAAAAAACCTATGGAAAAAAATATATAAAGTCTACTAGCAAAGTAATTTTAAACTATGATTATTTACCAGTTAGAACTAAGTATACAAACCAGGCCTGTGTGCGTAAGAGAGGTTAATGAAAAATTGAGTGGAAACAGTGATTGGTAAAATGATTTTGTTAACACAAACAATTTATACTGTAATAAAGGTTTTATAGAAATTACCTTCTGGGATCATGATGGGCAGCATGGCCACCATGGACCCGGTTCCCTTGGCTGCCTCTGCCTGCTGCTGCTCTAACTGCTTGGCAAGGCCAGCGCTAGGTGAGTGTGGGTGGGGCTTCCAACTAGTTGGGCCAGGCCTGGGCCTCTCCTCATGGCTGGGAAGCACCGTTTCCCCCGGTCCTGCCACCAGCCCCACCCACCCATCCCCCCATAACATAGCGCTCTCCCATGCCCCTAACAGAGCCCCCCCCCCAGACTTACTTGGAGGCTCATGGGGGGAGGAGTGCATGTTCGCACCCTTTGCACCTCCCTCGCGTACAGGTCTGCATAGGGTTGGAAGAGACCTCAGGAGGTCATTGAGTCCAACCCCCTGCTAAAAGCAGGACCAATCCCAACTAAATCATCCCAACCAGGGCTCTCTCAAGCCAAGACTTAAAAACCTCTAGGGATGGAGATTCCACCACCTCCCTAGGGAACCTATTCCAATGCTTCACCACCCTGCTAGTGAAATATCCAACCTGGACCTCTCCCACCACAACTGGAGACCATTGCTCCTTGTTTTATTCTCAGTGGTGACAGAGAACAGCCTCTCTCCATCTTCTTTGGAACCTTTCTTCAAGTAGTTGAAGGCTGCCATCAAATCCCCCCTCACACTTCTCTTATGCAGACTAAATAAGCCCAAACCCCTCAGCCTCTCCTTGTAAGTCATGTGCTCCAGCCCCCTAATCATTTTTGTTGCCCTCCACTGGACTTTCTCCAATGTGTCCTTGTCCTCGTTGAACTTCATCAGATTTCTTTTGGCCCAATTCTCTAATTTGTCTAGGTCACTCTGGACCCTACCCTTACCCTCCAATGTATCTCCCTCTCCCCCAGCTTAATGCCATCTGCGAATGTGCTGAGGGTGCAATCCATCCCCTCATCTAGGTCATTAATAAAGATGCTGAGCAAAACTGATATTTCAACACACAGGCTGCAGAAGTGGATTTCTGATTGTGATGGGTAAGTAAGCAAAACCCTTTGCAGAAGGGTTTGGGAGTGTCCCCCATGGCGTGCTCTGGGGCTGAAATGTATAGGAAAAGATACCCTTTCATTCTACTGACCCTAGCAAAGTTTCACTGTGCACAGGCCAAGAATAAGAATTGTGCTGAACTTCAACTATTTGCTCCTAATAAGTGGAGGGCAGGGAGTACAAGTCCCAGCTGGAGCTAGTTTTCATGGAGCTAGCATGCTAAAAACAGAAAGTAGCATGGGATCCAGGTTAGCCACCCAGAGACAAACAGGCAGTAGCTGCACTCCTAGGCTCATACTCATAATAGTTAGTCCCTCATCTTCACTGCTATTGCAACCATCATGTTTAGCTCTTCCACTTCATGAGATTAAGCTCAAGAATGTCTCCTACAGCTGGGAGTCACACATCCCCAGCTCCAAAGTGTCCACTTCCCCTCAGGTTCATGAGGAGCGCACTCTGCCTCAGGAAACCCACTTCACTTTTACAGCTGGGAAAACTGGGGCAGAGAGCAGCACAGTGATGTGTCTGAGGTATCACAGTGGCTCCTCTGCAAAGTCTTGTGTCTCCCCTGCTCTGATGGCTGGACAGTGCTCCTGGGGAGATGGAGGGTGAGGGAGGAGAAAAAGCTACCTGGATTTGTTGGCTCTGGGCAAACATGAGGAGCTCTACAGGACCCAGTAGTGAATAGGTGTGGGATGCAGGCTGCCTAGAGCTGCCGCACTATGATGTGTGGGGTCCAGCTGGGAGTTTGCCTGGTGCAGCAGGAGCAGGCAGCCTTGCTCTGTCTCCCGCTTGGCAATGTGAGGGGGGTCAACAATCAGCAGGCTCCAGCTTTAGCCCCAGGTCATCATGCCCCACAGATGAACCCTCCCATTCCAGGCCACAGGGTCTCACGCCCATCAGCCCCATCCCTACTGCCCCTACCCTTTTTACAGGTGTGCACGCACGCTTTCCCCAGTGCCTCTTGGCGACGTGAAGGGGTGTGCAGTGGCAGAACCTCCCTGCACGCTGCTTAAAAAGAAGAAGAGGAGGAGTGAAGAAACATGAGAGCTGTAGCAAGCTGCAGCCACTGCTGGCCATGGAGGAGGCATCACCCTAGCTAGGTGGCTGCTACTGTCCTACTGGACCTTCCTCCATGCTCCACCAGGAGAACGCTGGGGCTGATTTTTGTCACCCCGCCCTAGGAGTGAGGCAGGGAGCAGGGCCTCACTCCTGGGAAGGTGGGGGAAGGCAATCAGCCCCAACCTTCCCCCGATGGCTGAAGCATAGGGGAGGGAGCTGGGGAAAGCGCTGCCCCAGCCTGGCCAAATTTGGGACCATGTTGTGGGGGTGCATTCACAACCTTCCTCACTCCCGCCCCCCAGATATGGGCTTACAAACGCATATGAGCATATTTTTGTTGTAAATCTCTATTGTGAGCAGGTTAAAAAATTCGTAGATAAAACATGCACAAAGAAACCAGGTTTTCAGGCTAATCAATCATGCTACAGAAGGCTGCAGCGCAATTAGACTTAGTTTAGTCCTGCCTATAAATGGCAAAACTAAACTAAGTTTTCAATGTGATTTAGTGCTAGAGTTTCAGGAAGCCAAACCCAAACACAGGATTTAACAACCGCTGAATACTGGCCTATTTATTTCATAAAAGCCAGGGAGACCAAGGCTTTTTTGCCTGCACCCCACCTAAATCTCTGTTTAAAAGGGACATTTGTTAAGAAAATTAACTAGTCATTCAGGAAAGTAACTACCCATTTTGAGTGCTCAGATTGAGGCATGTTAAGGACACCCTCTTCCCCTGGAGATTTTTCAGACAGTTCCAATCATCCACATTATGGAGGGGGAGGGTTTCTACATTTATATATTAAAAATCACACTTCTGACAGGTTAGCAGGACACATCCACAATACTGAAAGACCAAAGGTCACTGATGAGCCACTTTTGAAAAGCTTAGCTGGTGCTCTTGCCCTAGCAATGAAGCAGCCAGGCCTGATCCTGAAGAAGCTCAGATATTTGCCAGTTTGAAAGCCTACGCCCCAAACATAAGCAGCATAACTTGTTCTAATGGGCAGTGGCCTCCTGTCTGACTTCACGCTCCATCGGACCCAGTCAACAACTGGTTTTTTTTGTGGGAAAAGTGAGTCTCTCTTCAGTAAACCTATCCCTGGCTGAGTAAATATCTCATGCAGGATTCTAGCGTTAAATTACTCAGAGTACTGCTAAACCAGCATCATACATCAAGTAATGCTAATCACCCAAATAGCGAAGACCTGGAGTTGAACTATAACACATGTGATATTGAGTAGGAATGTGAACAAGTAGTCAACTAGATGATTAACTGATAAGCCTAGGCTTATCTAGTCAACTGCTCGCATTTCCCCATCTCCCCAGAGGCTGCAAGGGTGGTGGGAGAAGCTGAAGCCAGTGCTGGGGGAAGTCGGCTTAAAAGCTGGTTCCCCCCCACTCAGCACCAGCTCGATGGCAACACCTTCCGCCTTCCCGCTCCCGCGCTGGGTGGGGCCAGGGAGGCTGCCACAAAGCAGTCTCAGCCTACGGTGGGCCCTGGCTCACCATAGACAGAGGCTGCTCCGCATCCCGCAGACAGGGGCTGGTCCCCGGCAACACCCCCTGTCCATAGTGGGTCCCAGCTCCCTGCAGACAGAGGCTGCTCCCCGCCCCCGGGGGGGAGTGAGGGGAGGGCTGAGCCCTGGACAACATTTTGGGTTTGTAAAAGATGAGCATTTTAAGAGCTATTGTCATGTCCATACAGGCTTTTTCGCAGTTTAACTCTATTCTTATAACAACACTTTCAGGTAAATCAGTACAACTCTACCATATAGACAAAGCTTTGTTTCACTCTTGGACTACGTGTTGTCCACAGGGTTTTTTTTAAAGGTGGGAGGGGAGCACAGTTATACTTTCGACAGGATAGCAACAATTCCATTAGCCATGTTAGGCTGAATGTTGGCAAAGGAGACATTTAAATCTTGCTGTAAAAGTTTTTACAACTTTGGCTAAGATTTTCAAAGTGATTTTTTTATATATATATATATATATATATTGTTTGGTGTTCCTCGGTCTTAAAAAGTTTAAGAAACACTGGACTAGAGAATAGTTGACTAACTGATGCGGTTAGTCAACTATTCTATTACCAGCTATCTAACATCCCTAATATCAAGTCATCAGTTTAAGCAGAACTTCCCAATTATTTGAGTGGAAAGTGGAATTAAAATGAGAGAGAGAACACAACATGAGTATTTCAAGGCATTTTAACTTCCTTTTGTTTTCTCCTCCGCCTTCAAATGTGACTTTTCAGACCAAACAATGCATAACAGAGTTTTCCTGGAAATCTCTGGACATAATGTTCATACTGGTAAGGTGACCATATTTTCCCAAGGGAAAGCAGGACAATATATTGGGCTGGCCCAAGCCCCTTACCCAAGCCCTCTTCCTCTTCCCCCCCCCCTTGCATGGGGCTGACATTACTGCTCAGCACCTGCCTGAGGCTGGGGCTGGCGTCAATGCTCTCCCTTACCATTTTCCTCCACATCCTACTTTGACAAAAGTGGGCATTTGTCCTGTTTTCTCCAGCCAACTAAATCTGCAAGAGCAAATAGGAAAAATGTCCAGTTTTGCCAAAGAGTCATGATGGCTAGCATAGGGCTTAAAAAAAAAAAAAAAAAAAACCACAATAGACACAGTACAGTCACCCTAAAATTGTCCATATCCTACCACCAGACCTGCAGAGGACGGGCCCTAATGGGGGGAGGTGAGGAGAAAAGATCTCCTAGCATAGTGGCCTCCAACCTTTTTAAATCATGAGATCACTTTTTGAATTTAAGTGAAATCGAAGATCTACTTCATACTCAAATACCCTTGCCCAGCCTCCTTTGTGCCCCTTCTCAGAGGTCCTTCCCCTGGCTCACTCCATCTTGCTCACTTTCACCAGGCAGGGGCAGCCAGTTGGGGTGCAAGCTCTGATCTTGGATTAAAAGATTAGAGTGCGAGAGGGGCTCTGAGCTTGGGGCAGGCAGTTGGGAGTGTTGGGAGGGGGTTCTAGGTGCAGGCTCTGGAAGGGTGTTTGCATGCAGGGGTGCTTGGGCCTAGGGCAGGGGCTCAGGGTGCTGGAGGGGTTTCATGACTGGGGCAGGGTTTCGGGATGTGGGCTCTGCCTGGGCACTGCTTATCTCAGGTGGCTCCTGGGTGGTGGTGCAGTGGAGCTAAGGCAGGCTCACCCATGCCCTGGCCCTGGACTAGTCCCTAAAGCAGCTAACAAATTCCTTCCCAAGTCCTGTTGTGCCCCCTGCCCTCCTCTATGGAGATAGGATACAGGGTGGGAGAGGGGGCACCTTGACATCAGCACCCCTCTTCTCCCTCCCCTGCCCAACAAGAAAGAGGCTCCTGGGGGCAGGGTGAGGCAGCTGAAGGCAAAGGTCAGGAGATGCGCAGCAGTAGGGGGGAGGGGCAGTTGAAGTGCTGGCACTTGGTAGCCTCTGGGCCAAAACAGTCAGGATCACCTGTCAGAGGCTTCAAGATCTACCAGTAGATCCCGAAATACTGGTTGGTGACCACTGTCCCAAGCAGGTTTGGTTTAAGAGTTCTCACCACAACCCAACAGACCAATCATCTTTATCCACATAACTCAATAATACAACCACTGCATTGTAATTTATATTCTCTTCCTATACCACCATCAAGGACTGTGCATATCTTGCCAAAGAACAGGGATAGCTCTGTAGAGGCTCTGTGCCTTCATACTGGCAACAGGGCCCTCTGCTCCTTGGTAGTACAATTATCAGAATATGAAGTCATTGATAAAGTGGCTCTCTCTCAGAACCTCCTCTGCCCTTAATTGCTGGGCAGTTCTACAAACAATTTACTATGCCTTTCTGGGGGCATGGAAGGAGAATGTCATGATGTGCACAACCCTTCTGGGTTTGAAATAGCCCCACACTGCAAAGGCAGATGCTCAATAGGATTTTGGAGGCATGCTAAGGACACTCCTTTAATGACAACGGAATGGAAAGGAGCTTGGCAGATTTCTTCTGGGAATAATTCATTTTGGTGCTTCTGGATTTTTGTTTTGCTGCAATATTATGTGCCAGGACACTTAACTTCATATATGAGTCTTATAATTATTCAAATCCTTGGAAACAGATCCTTGGAAATGGAGAGGACAGAGAGAAGAAAGGCCCACCAATGACGTGGAGGCAGCAGACCATAATGAGAAGTGGTCTGAGCCACTCGCTTTCAGACGTAACAAAACGCAGTAGGACCACTAACGTTTTAGGTCACCCTTCTTATTGGTTTTGAAGCAGAATATCTGCCTGCAAGATCTTTTGATTTACCTGCAGCACTGTGATCAGTCAGCGTGGCTACAATGTTTTTCACTAGGAGTTTCCATTCGTGAGCCCTTGGAGGTTTTGGAGGACTGGTGCCCTGCGGGAGAGTTCCTACATTTTGTACAGTCTGTGAAAAGGAAACGACATAAGGAATCATCTCTATAAAATACTGAGCACCTTGTAGACTGACAAAGATCAAGCATAATAAAAGTAGTCTGATGTTAAAAAGTTACAGTGCAGCATTAGCAACAACGTAGTCACCTAGAAATTCTGAAGGTCAAATCGTCCCGTGCCACAGGCTATGCATTTTAAAGTGTTCTCCCCTATGGTTTCTAATTAAATATCATAGTGTTAGGCTTGCAGTTCATTCACTGGACCATGAGTGTTCTTCCAATCGGACATATTAACACTAACAGAAATCAGGTTGAAAAGAAGTATATAAATACATACAACACTCACCTGTACCTCTTTTAATAAATCTGTAGGTTTTGTACTCAGGATTACAGATGGTGAAACTAAACTAATGAGATTCTGGAAAACGTCTCTGAATGACTCAGATATTGCACATGTTTCTTCCATATGGCTCTAGGAGGAGAGAGAAAAAAAAGTCAGTCACACTTCTAATTAATCAGAATAAACATTATTGAAGAAATTCACTGGACAGCTGACTATGCAGTCTACCACTATATCATAAAGCAAATGTTGTAGGAATAAGAGCAGGCCTAAAGCCAATAGTCAGACACAACTGAGAGGTCATAAAATATAATCATTTGTTTTTAGTTATTAAAAAAACATTTAAAGGAGATCAAATATAGGTATTATAATCACATACAGCTCTGAAAGAGGGATGGAAAGGGTAGAAGTATTACTAACCTCATAAGCGCTATCATCACCTGGGCAAAACCAATACAATACAATACATAACAGAGAGCAGGTCTGATATCAATAAAATCCTGTTTAATCCTGCACCAGCCCCCATGGGTTAATCAGAACTGGTAAGCATCACCCATTAAGGAGGATGCTTACTAGTTAACCTATTACATCCCTATTATCTACATAGCACTGTTGACTTCAGTGGAACTATGCTGACATCTGGCAACTTCTATTCAGCATACAATGATCATTATGGTACTTAAGCCCGAACCTCAATCCTGCCTAAGATACTTCTGTACAGAAGTTCATGCAGCTCCAGCCAGCAAACAAACTATCACTGCTACCTCTTATTATCCAAGAAATTGTCTAGATATTGATGTTCCATGCAGTATGCATTTATCCTCTGTCTTTGATATTACAGGCATAAAAATGCATTTCAAAATTTTGCTTATACATGGTAGCTTTGAGTTTACGTCTAAAATGCAGCAATCATTTGCTTTCCAGTGATCTGATAAACAAGATTTACTTTTAGCTATAGTCAGTGGCAGCGTGCTTTTCTAAGCTTCAGATTTCTTCACTATTTGTAATTGAGGGGATGTTTAATTTAACAAAGGCAACAATTTGTAAGTTCAAAAGCACTGGAAGTTTTCAAAGGA